CAATAAAAATGTGTTGCTGGCATCAGTTTCAAAATGGACATATATTTTTCAAAAAACAATAAGATTTTTCTTAGTTTCAACATTTGATATATTGCCTTTGTGCTATTTTGAATTAAATATAAGGTTAAAATAATTTGCACATTATTTCACTCTGTTTTTATTTACATTTTGCACAGTGTTACAACTTTTTTGAAAAAAGTAAATAGTAGAAAGATGAACAAAGGTGTAAAATGAATATTTCTGTTATTTTTGTTTGGTTGTAGTTTGAAAATTTAAAGAAAATCAACAGGTGTCCTGTTGGGAGGAATGAAAGAAAGTGTGTGAAAGAAATAGTAACAAACAACAGGGATAGAAAGCAGGATGCATGCTCTGAATAAATTTATTTGGGCTATATATTTATAGACAAAGGTCTAACAAAGCTAACAAACCATGTAAGGGGAGAAGTTTATTAATAAAATACTTTTTATTAACATTTACATTCATTCACTTCTTAACTTGAGTTGTGTCAACTCCATCAGACACACCAAAAAAAAGCATGCTATTTTAATTTGATCAATTTAACAAGACAAAAATGTCCCTAAGTATGCAATGATGGTGAGTTAAGTAATAAAATGCATTATGTACATTTTTGTTTTGACTCGACACTATTTTTGAAAAATTCAATTTCAAAATTCTTTATTTTATATATTTATTTTTAACATTAACTATATATAACCAATGTTTTTAGGCAAAAAAACATCAATGCATGTAGTTCAGCTGGTAACATATTTCATATTTAAAAAACTGATCAAGTATTTACAAATATTTTACCAAGAAGTAACTAAGATCAGACAAGTTTTGACAAGAGGAAGAGAGGCTGGCCAAAGAACACCTGACAACAGGATCTCCTGACAGACATTAAGAGAGGATGTATCTGGCATCAAAATAAACTAATGAACTCTGGAGGTTCCTTGTCAATGGCCTATACACCAGTAGGGGTGTCAGGCATTAATAAAATGACTGAGATCACAACAGACTAAGAAAACGAACTAATAAATTATTTAAAGACATAAATTTGAACTATATGTAGGTTCCAGAATTCTTCCAGTAGTTGTCCTTCCAACGGCTGACTGGAATATCAAAGAAAACATATTATGTTAATATGTCTCAGGATTTTTTCTAGTTAAAATATTTTTCTTTGTTGTTTTTCTCCACATAACTTGTAATTTTTCTCAAAATAATAATACAACTGGTGAGTGGCATAGTGGACAGTGAGTAGGACCACTGCCTGGAGACCAAAAGGTCATCAGTTCATATCCCACTTGGGAACACCATCACTAGAGTGCCTTTGAGCAAGGCATTTAACCTTAAGTTACTCTGGGGGCACTGTTCCTGTAACTAACTAGCATATGTGGACATAAAACCTGAGGAAATTGATGTCCAAAAATTTAATGTTTTCCCATCGTAAGCATCTCTTGGACACTGGAGTTTTGTTTTTTTTTTTTCCAAGTTGCTAGCTGCCTTTACAGCCTAAACTAATATGCCAACATTTATTCCACAATTCTTAACTAAGATTATCATACTGAGAAGACATGAGTGTTGACACGTTAAAGTTGTGTTAAAAACTTCAGCAGCACTGCTATGTCTGAGCCACTCAGACCAGCGCAACACACACTAACACACCACCACCGCGTCAGTGTTACTGCAGTGCTGAGAATGATTCAAATAGTACCTGCTCTGTGAGGGTCCATGGGGGTCCTGACCACTGAAGAACAAGGTAAAAGGGGGCTAACAAAGTATGCAGAGAAACAGATGGACTACAGTCTGTAATTGTAGAACTATAAAGTGCACCTATATAGTAAGTGGAGCTGATAAAATGGAAAATGAGCATAGAAACAAGGAGGTGGTCATAATGTTATGCCCGATCGGTGTATGTCTTCATGTCTGTAGTTATACATTATAGGAACTGTTCATCAAAATAAAATGTAGGTTTACTAGTACTAGAGTAGTATAATGACACACTATGCCTTTACTTTTGATATTTATGTGTATTTCTAGTAGCACTTTCACATTTCACACACTTTAACGTCAAACCTGGTTAGAAATATCAGCAGATGAATTCTTGTTTTATACAGGGTATCTATATATTCACTCTAGTATATTATTTGTGTACTTTGTCCACTACTGGAAATACTACACCTGTTTCAGCCTATTCAGAAATTCAAGCTTAGGATAAAGTTTACCTATCAGCAGCACAATCATCCCATGCGCAAGGCCAAAACAACAGTGCAACAATGGATTGGCTCAAAAACAAAATGGTGAATGTCCTACGTTGTCCCAGTGAAAGTCCTGACCTCAATCCCATTGAGAATCTGTGGCAGTATTTGAAAAGTGCAATCCACAAGGGTCATTCAACGAACCAGTACAGGCTTCTGCAAATCTGCCAAGATGATAAAAGAAAAACAACCGTGCAAAGCTGATACTGCAGCAAAAGGTGACTATAGCCTATGATTATGTGGCTTCTGAATACATATGCAAGCAGTGTATGTTTTCGATTTTTTAAAAACATTAGTAAATTTATAATGGATTATTTTGTCTTTAAAAAATGTGTATGTGTAAATATGTTTTTTCTCCCACAAAAGGTTTTTACAAAATGTTTAATACTTTCACAATGCCCTAAACATACCGCCCTTGTTGTCACAGTGCTTTGTAAAGTCTTGCATAGACTATTCTGCATTAATATGCTATGTAGACCTTGTTTCTTGTGTTATTACTTCATATCACTAGTTTCCTTGCCATTGCTGATTTTCTGACTATGAATATGGATTTGTCCATTATAACTATGCCTACCTCTGTTATCACTCCTACTTCATGTAATGATGTCAATTACTGGGTTAGCCCAAATAAATTAATTCAGAGCATGCATCCTGCTACCTGTTTCTCTTGCTTTTTACTGTTTCTTTCTTAAACTTTCTTTAATTCCTCCACCTTCCAACAGAAGGATACCTACTTATTTTTCTTAAATTTCCATGCTACAACCAACAAAAATGACAAAGATTCATCTTACCTTCTTCAGTTTATTTATTTCCAAAAAAGTTTGGACACTGTGCAAAATGTAAATGAAAGCAGAATACAATGATGTGCAAATCATTTAAACTGTATATAAATGAAAACAGTACAAAGACAACATATCACATGTAACTAAGAAGTTTGATTGTTTTTTTTAAAAGTATATGGCCATTTGTTGCTAGGAACACATTTCAAAAAAGCTGGGTCAGGGGCATGTTTACCACTGTGTTGTATCACCTCTTCAGAGCATCACTCTGTTAGCATTTGGGAACTGAGGAGAGCAGTTGCTGTAGTTTTAAAAATTAAATGTTCTCCCATTCTTGTTTGATATAGGATTTCAGCTGCTCAACAGTTTAGGGTCTCCTTTATCATATTTTTCATTTCATACTGTGCCAAATGTGTTCAATGGGTGATGGGTCTGAACTTTAGGCAGGCTAGTTTAGCACCCAGACTCTTTTACTACAGGGCTGTTTTTGTAATACATGCAGAATATGGTTTGGCATTGTCTTGCTGGAATAAGCAAGGCCTTCCCTGAAAAAGACATCATCTGGATGGCAGCGTATGTTGCTCCAAAACCAGCATATATCATTAAACATTAATGGTGCCTTCAAAGATGTGCAAGTCACCCATGCCGTGTGCACTAATGCATCCCCTTACCATCACGGTGGCTGGCTTTTGAACTGTGCGCTGATAACAAGCCAGGTGGTCCCTCTTCTTATTATCCTGGAGGACGCTGCATGGCATGATTTCCAAAATGGTACAGTTTTTACTTGCATTTGTGGATGCAGCAATAACTGCGTTCACTAACAATGGTTATCATTTACAGATAATTGCATTCTATTTTATATACATTTTGCAGTGTCCCAACTTTTTTGTAAATGGTGTTGTAATTTGAATCTTTAAATTAATCTAAACAAGTAATTTGGAACTGTGGAAGAACAATTGAACAATTGTTTGGAACATGAAGTCTAAAATCGATAGAAGCATTCATATCTAATTAGATGCACAAATGACAAGTTCACAGCAAATAAGATGAGCACATGCATATGCATGTTTCTGTCTGTGTGAATGCACACACACTCACACGTGTGTTTATAAATGGTTTCTATCTTGACTCTATAAATATGTTACTATAAAAGGTAATGGGTTTAGATTACCTTTTAATAGAACTGCAGCTGTACTGAAAATCTGCCACAGAGCGTAACTGAAAAACCAAAGCAAAACACTTAATGGGTTTAAGTCCTTACCCTCGCTGTATTACCTGTCCACATGGAACACTGGGGACATTTACACATATCATGTGGGACTGCCCAAAAGTCTTTTGGGAGGAGGTAGTTCATTCTATCTCTTCGTTGACTGACAGACAATTCCCTAGGGACCCTGACCTAGACCTGCTTAATGATAACTTAAGAGTTCATCACAAAAGGACTGGAAATGTATGGCTGGCTGGCATAATAGCAGCAAAAAGTCATTGCCAGTGTTGGTTACTGGTTATATACGTTGGTTATCAAGTCAAATTTTATTTATAGAGGGCTTTTTATAATGATGAGCAAGCCAAGGGTGACAGTGGCAAGAAAAAACTCCCCTAAACCTTGTGAGGAACCCATCTGCCATCATTAACTTCATGCAGTACTGGACATTCTGTAGCTGGGACTGTTATCTGCAAAAACTAACAACATGGCCCATAGAACTCTTCACTCATGGAATGACTGAATAACCAGTCAAGCACCCTTTGCTTGCTTAATGCATTAATGTTGTGATTGGCCAAGTTTCAAATGTGTTTAGGTTCTGTTGGAATATTCCATGTAAGTGTGGCCAGGGGATGGTGAGGGTGGATTGTCTGGGATTTCTTTAAATGAAAAATAAATAAATAATCACCAAAAAAAAATAAATAAATAAATAAAAAGAATTGCAGCTACGCTAAACCATAAATGTAAGGACATAACAATACATCAAACTCAAGATTTTATTTCAGTAATGCCTATAAACAGCAACAGTAAAGTTCTGTTTCTTGGAGCAAATACAGAAAGGACCTGAGCCTGACTGGTTTCCAATACTTATCATCGGCATGAGAAGACAAGACATATGTTCAAATAAACTTATATACAAAATAATGTATTATACCTTATACATACATTCCTCAACAATCTGAAAATTTGTTTTGCTTTCTTATTTTAGACAAAATACCCATTATATACCCCATATGTTTTGTAATTATATTAACAGTAATTATAATGTTATCAGCAGGTATATATTAAAGGTGTGCTGTAACACTTAATGGCCAACTGTTAAAAGATACTAGCATCAAGTGCAAGATGAGGTAAATTTTAATCCACTAAAAATGTAAACTAGATTTTGCACTTTTAGAAACCACCTACAACTTAACAGCATAAAGCTGCATTTTTAAACTGATGCATAAACGACCACTATAAGAAATAACAATTATAAATAAATAAATAGATTGTATTTTACCCTCCACTACCAAAGCTTGGTTGGATTAGCCAATAAGTAAGCAAAAGCAATGCACTGTTCCTTAACACCTCCCACTTCCTGTTCTACTTGTTTGGCCTCACAGAGAAAAAAAAAAATTGTCTAACGTTAGGACTCCCCCCTGTGATTTAATTTTCCATTCCACAATAGTACCTTAAAAAGCAATTACTCTATGACGTGACTATTTTATGTTAAACTCTATGGCTAATTTCTCAAAGCCAGATAAAAGCTGATCATAGACTAAAAAGAATTTCCAATGGTGATTCACTACTGGTACTTCAATTTAGTCCAAATCCAGGCTTAGTCCATATCTGGGAAACTAGCCAAAAGTCACTGATATGACTGTAGAGACACAGTAACATCTTTCACAATGCTCATCATGTTGCTTAAAAACAACACTTTACTGAAACATAGTAAAGCAAAAATAAGTTGACGTTTTAGGCTATGAACATACAGCAACAGTCTGCAGATTAGTGCAAAGTTCAGCTTCATTTTCTCAACTCGTCTCTGCTGAGATCGAGCTGAACTATTTAAAAATTCTAGAAACACTCATCTCAGAAATCTTTTTATACCTTGGACTGAGCTAATTTCAACACTGTGATGGGATATACCAGAATATTATTTTCCGGTGAAAGGCTCCACCTGCATTAACTGCAGAGGAACCAGCACTGCATTCTGAGCGATGCTATTTCAATAATTTGTCAATGCAAGTTTGACCAAGTTATTCCGTTCAAAATGAATTGCCTTCAATACAGGTAAGCAGTCAAACAAAGTGATGCAGACTGTCATAATCAGTGTAATTAGCTCACAGGTGCTCTCTGAACCTACAACAGAGAAACTTCCTCACATGACATCAGATCATCTAAATTAGTTTGTTCCCTTTATTGTACTTAACTGCATAAACTGTATTGAGCCCATAAAGGTTAATAATAGTAATAATAATACTGATGTCTAGCTCAGTATTCAAGTGTGGGTGCTGATGAGACTCCACTAAACAGAACAGTCCATGCTGAACAACCGACAGTACAATGTGTGCCACTTTAGATTAACCGAGGATCATTTATCATTATAAAAATATAACAACCACCACCACATCCAGCCACGACCAGCTGACCTTCATTGCACTGCATGTCACACAAATATCCTTTGAACACGTTCAAAAGCTGAAAGGAAGTCTTTGCACCAAATTGCTATCTTTTAGACTGAATTAAAGCTAAAAGCCATGCACAACCTGGTACGAAATACACACTGGCTGGTGGATAATAGTTTTCATTAAGTGTTTAGCCAAGTTTACATATCTGCAGTTGAACTTTTTCTTTAAAAGAAAGTGAAAAAAATAAATTGCTTGCTGTCTGGTGAAATCAGACATCTGTTATATACACTCAGTAAGAACGTAAGGGTATGTAACCTACAGTGGAGCAGACCACATGATGTTGAGGTGGGGTCTTTTACAGGGAATGATCTCACTGTTGTGAATACTATACTGGTTGATGTTCACACATCCTGCTTGTTCAGCTGGTTGTTCCTCACTAAACAGTCTTAGTCAGCCTTACCACCAATGTTGTGTTGTTTTTTTTTCTCTGTTTTTTAAAAAGCAGAAACTCCCTCTGTCATTTACCATCCCTCTAGCCTCTAATATAGATGCTGTATCATGAGGGAGCTGGAGGGAACATTTTTCCACAAACTGGAAAAAAATTATGTAAAAGGAAAGCACAGTGACAGAGAGGGATACTCTAAACAGAGCAAGGGAGAAATAGCATGATATTTAGGAGATCCTCAGTGATAAAGCAAGGAATGCAGACATGTGCAAAGGTCATTTGTCTGTGACTGCTGCAGCCATGGGTGTCCGTATGGTTCCTCTTGCTGTGATGGCCAGCTCTTCAATCTCTGCATTCAGACGCCTGATAACCCACTCCATTGCTTCACGACCCTGAAGACAGGCAGAAAAACAAAAAGATACATGAGCACCAGAATTTGTGGAGGGGTTTGAGGGTTCATCACTGCATCATTGTAAATGACATGATAAAAATAAAGTGCTGTTCTCTATTTACGTTACCAAGAGTAAGTGCAAGTTATTAATTCATTATTGTTTATGCTATCAGGTGTCAATGGGCTTCCCTTTCAGTCGTTCCTCTGAAGGTTTTTTCCAAATGCTCCTATGTCGAGCGTACACCCTATGACTCGAAACCCTAAAGTTTACATTTCTGCAGTTTAACTTTTTCTTTAAAAGAAAGTGAAAAAAATAAATTCCTTGCTGTCTGGTGAAATTAGACATCTATTACATACACTCAGTAAGAATGTAAGGGTATGTAACTTACAGTGGAGCAGACCCCATGATGTTGAGGTGGGGTCTTCTAGTTCAATAGACTATTGGTTCAATTTCACTAGACACACCCAGGCATGATTACTGCTGGACCTGCTTAATCTAAACACTACTGAAATTGAACCTGTCTGACAATGTGAAGCAGGTTAAAAGGTCTCAAAAGCAGCACGTGATGCCACGTTCCAAAGAGATTTAAATACAGATTGTTCAGCCAGACACAGCTCCAATGTCATCATCAAATTCGAAGGGGACACCACGATTGTGGGCCTGATCTCCAATGACAACGAGGAGGCCTACAGAGAGGTCAGTTTCCTCACACACTGGTGCCAGAGGAACAACCTCTCACTCCGTGTTGACAAGACCAAGGAACTCCTAGTGGACTTCAGGAAGCAAAAGAAAGTGCACACTCCCATCACTATCAATGGAGCCACCTTAGAGAGGGTAAGCAGCTTCAAGTTCCTCTGTGTTCACATCACAGAGGAATAAACACGGACCAAACACACCACACGGTTGGTGAAGAAGACACAAAAGCACCTCTTCTATCTCAGGCGGCTAAGGACTTCTGGCATGAAACCCCACATCCTTAGAACATTTTACACAAGTACTGTGGAGAGCATGTTAACAGGCTCCATCACCACCTGATACAGGAACTACACTGCCATTGAGCAGAAAGCTCTGCAGAGGATAGTGGGGACAGCCCAGCACATCACCGGGGTCCAGCTCCCAAACCTCCTGGATATACCAGGCGCTGCCTGACGAAGAGCAGGAGGATTCTAAGGGACACCACCCACCCAAGCCACTGTTTGTTCTCACAGCTGCTGAGCGGGAGGAGGTACAGAAGTAGCTGGTTCCGAGACAGTTTCTTCCCACGGGCCATCAGGCTGCTGCACAGCCAGTGGTGCTGGTGTATCGGTCTAAGGGCCCGTCACTACACCTCTGAATCATCATCATCAGCATCATCATGATTTCCACGGACAATCCACACCTCAAACAGACTCACTCGGGTCTTACTGTAACTTCTATCTAGCAAATCTATACCTGCACATACAGATTGACATCTTGTACATCTATCCATATCTTATATAATCTGAGATGTGACAATAAATGTGAATTGATTTGAAAGTCGCTGACATCTACCAGTCTGGAAGGGGTTACAAAGCCATTGCTAAGGCCCTGGGACTCCAGCAAATCACAGTGAGAGCCATTATTCACAAATGGACAAAACTCAGAACAGTGGTGAACCTTCCCAGGAGAGGCTGGCCTACCAATATTTCCATACTGACGATTCAAAAGAGCATACTGACGACTCATTCAGGAGGTCGCAAAAGAAGCCAGATAAACATCTAAGGAAATGCAGGCTTCACTTGCCTCAGTTAAGGTCAACATACACTGATCCACATTAAGAAAGACACACGGCAAAAATGGCATCCATGAAAGAGATGCAAGACACGAACCACTGCTGACCAAAAAGAAAACAAAGGCTCATCTCGCATTTGCCAAAAAACATCTACATGATCCCCCAAGCCTTTTGGGATAATACCCTGTGCGATGATGAGTCAAAGGTGGAACTCTGCTAACACCAGATTCCATGGGCCTACCTTACTCCACAGTGATGTAAAAAATTAACCACTAGTTAATGCAAACGTTTGACTGCAATTGTTACTAGCACAACCAGTTATTAGGTTTAGGGGGCAATTCCTTTTCCCATGGGTGATACAAGTTTTAAATAAATCTTTGTCTTCAATAAATGGAATGATTGTTTAAAAGCTGCATACTTGTGTTGTCTTTGATTAAAATGAGTTGGATAATCTACATTTTTTTAATGTGACAAATTGGTAAAAATAGAAGAAATCAGGTGAGGGACAAATAATTTTCACTGCACTGTATCAGAACAGACCAAGTACTGACTTAACAGAGGCATTCACACATTCACCAGTGTTCAACAAGAAGCCAATCATCGTCCATACCCATCCCTTCAGATTCAGGAAAGATGCATGGTTTTTTTTCTTTACTTCAACAGTAATAAAAAGTCAATCTGCAAAATTTAGGTATTAAATTACTAGTTGAACAGGAGACTACTTCAAAATTACCTGCCCTAACTTTCTACCACACAGTGAAACAGCAGGTGTTGCACTAATTAATGGACCAGCAGAAGAATAGTTTCAATGATCCCACCTTTCCTGCATTGGTTGAGATGGTGTTTGCCATAAGCCCCTCCAGGTAGCTGCTCAAACTGACTCTCTTCACAGAGATAATAGCTTCCTGTGTCAGCACAGTCCTGTGACACCATCAACAATATTCACACTCATGTCATCAGAACCCAAAGATTTAAGCATACATGTACATGGTTACAAAATGTTCTTTTTAACTAAAATGACCAAAAGATGAAGAAGTAGTTTATTAAGTTTATTAAGCTGAAGAATTAGGTTATTCTTGCACAAACTTGTATCTACACTCATTGTCCATTTTATCAGCTCCACTTACCATACAGATGTACTTTGTAGCTCTACAATTACAGACTATAGTCCATTTCTTCTGCTGCATTATAAGTTAGCCCCTTTGTAAACTGTTCTTGAATGGTCACGACCCCCACAAGAACACCACAAAGCAGGTATAAATTGGGTGGTAGATCACTATTAGCACTGCACTGATGTGGTGGTGTGTTGGTGTGTGTTGTGCTGCTCTAAGTGGATCAGACACAGCAGTGCTGCAGTCTTGAAACACCTCAGTGTCACTGCTGGACTGAGCATGTCTAAAAGACTGAGCATGTCTACAGTAACTGTAACTGGACACAGTGTTTAAAAATTAAATAACACACTGTTGTATGCGCTCTAACACTCAACCAAATGTGTTGTTACATAGAATTGGGTGTAGAGGCAAGCAATGCTAAATTTTTTTCTTAAGGACAAAGAAAAAGAAAAACAACATCACTCACTATGCTAGCATATATACTAAAATGTTAGGCTTAGCTACAAATAAACAACCATCACTTGTGCTTCCTTCAAAAAACATTACAGCATCAAGCTCCATGATACTTCAATTATTCATTTACCGCTTTCTTTTATTTACATTTACTAGCCTATTTTACATTTTGCGCATTGTGGCATAACAACTGCAAAATCTAAACACTATAGTCAGCTTAAGTAACTGTATTTAGGCAATTATGCAATAGGCGTAGTCTCTGCAGCACTGAGAATGATCCACCACCCAAATAACACCTGCTTTTTGGGGGATCCTGGCCATTCATAAACAGGATAAAAGAGGCCTACAAAATTATGGAGAGAAAGAGATGCACAACAATCTATAACTGCACAACTGCAAACTGCACCATATGATAAGTGGAACTGGTAAAATGGACAATCAGTGTAGGAAACAAGGAGGTGTACTTAATGAAGTGGCTAGTCATTTTGGAGAAACAGGTTTACACACTGTCTTCTCGCAGAATACAACAGGAATAATGCAGGGCTTACTTTTCTGGGTCTTCAGGATGCGGTCTGTAGATGAGCCTTTCATCCACAGAGACCATGTTGGTAAACGTGATCTGTGAACATACAAGTGTTTGCATGAAATTAAGTGTGCGTCAAATATCTGTGCAAGAATATTCTACAATTTAAACTAAACCAAGGCACTGTGCTTGTGCAAACAGGTTCTGTCTCATCTCAAATCACTTTTGACTTAAAACACTTAGTCTTTATGACATCAACACATACATCACAAGTAACAGTTACAAGGAGTAAAGGCACCTAGTGTGCAACCTGTTTTATAATGGAGTAAAGAAATAATTGGCCAATTTAAATTACTATGCAAATATTAACATGGAACTGCTTACTAGTGAACTTCAACACTACACCGATCAGGCATAACATTATGACCTTGTTTCTATGCTCATTGTCCATTTTATCAGCTCCACTTACTAAACAGGTGCACTTTGTAGTTCTACAATTACAGACTGTAGTCCATCTGTTTCTCTGCATACTTTGTTAGCCCCCTTTTACCCTGTTCTTCAGTGGTCAGGACCCCCATGGACCCTCACAGAGCAGGTACTATTTAGGTGGTGGATCATTCTCAGCACTGCAATAACACTGACGTAGTGGTGGTGTGTTAGTGTGTGTTGCGCTGGTCTGAGTGGATCAGACACAGCAGTGCTGCTGGAGTTTTTAAACACCTCACTGTCACTGCTGGACTAAGAATAGTCCACCAACCAAAAATATTCAGCCAACAGTGTCCTGTGGACAGCGTCCTGTGACCACAGATGAAGGACTAGAGGATGACCAACACAAACTGTGCAGCAGCAGATGAGCTATCATCTCTGACTTTACATCTACAAGGTGGACTGACAAGGTTGGAACGTCTAATAGAGTGCACAGCGAGTGGACACAATGTTTAAAAACTCCAGCAGCACTGCTGTGTCTGATCCACTCGCATCTATATAATAAGTGGAGCTGATAAAATGGACCATGAGCATAGAAACAAGGATGTGGAAGTGGAAGGAAGTGGTCATAATGTTATGCCTGAACGGTGTTAGGCAAACAATAGAAACTGTGTTGTCTCTTAGACCAGGCGTGTCAAACACAACCGGTAAAAGGGCCATATTAAAAAAATCTCATCAAATCTGTGGACCAGAGAAAAAAAAATGTTTTTAATTTAATTTTTAATTAATGTTGTGCTATAACCGCAACTGGCCATTGTTTACTCAAAATATGCAAAAAACTTCAACAGTAAAATACAGATACTTGTAGTAGACCTTAAAATATTACATGAATACTTGAAATATTCAAAATTTAAATGTCCCAAGAAGCACAGCTTTTTAAACCTGGCATCCTTTTAGGAAAGTCAGAGTGCACATTACATTAGTGCATGCTGGGGACTGTAGTGCAGCACATTGTGAAATGGGTTAATATTAACAGGAAATTAAAATACTTTTGTGAACCGGATAGGATTGCATGGGCCTTGTGTTTGACACATGGGCCTTAGACAGCAACTTCAGGCTCAGTGCCAAAGCACTTTTATAGCTTTAATCAAGCAAAACAAAAAGTCACTAAAGACAGACTTAAAAACACATATGCACAGCTTTGAGTGGTTAAATGTTGGTAGCTATTTGGTATCGTTTTAATAAACATATGTAGTACCTATGGCACTGCTTTTAAATGATGCATTGTGCTTTACAAAGTTTTAAAATTTGTTTCTAAGGAAACTAAAATACCTTTGTAAAGAAACTAATGTATGTTTTCTTTAAGAGAAAACTGAACCACTGCCAAAAAACACAAATCTGGGGTAAAGCTTGCACAAAGGGAAAAGGCATGCCAGCTTAAAAAGAGCACAACATCAGAGAAAAGGATACTAAATGTAAAACACTTCACTTTTGTTTCAACATCACAAAATATTATACAAACAGATTATTTCCTTTTTGTTTAGCTTTTGGAAAAAAAAAAAAAGATCTTACATTTGTTGACTTAAGTTCCAAAGTTTTCTCTTTAGGATCCACAACGGAGTGCTCTTGAACATATGTACATGTTCGTGCATTACCAATTATCTGTGAAAAAAAAGAAACAAATGGGATTTATCATGTATCATTAACCATTACCAGATAAAGAAAAAAAATTCACAGAAAAAAGGCTGGCAGCTGAAGAACCACTTCAAAAAGTCAAGAGTATCAAAACAGGGCTTCCGTTCTTCCAATTCTATCATGTGAGTGTGAGAACGTGCAAGGGAATAGGACTGGAGCTGAACTCTTGCAATGATGAGAAAGAGAGAGGGGCAGCTACATCATACCAGGAAACTTCAGCTGGCCATTTTGAACACAGTTTTCTACAAATATTTGTTACAAAAGTAAAGCTCACACTAGTTATCCAGTCTCTGGTTAACTTTACTTTTGTTAGCTTGCTAAAAAAAATTTTTAACTTGTAGACTTCCCAAGGATTAACGAAATCACCCTGGAAAGAATACATGTCAGGTGACAATGAGATCTGTAAGGTTGGTAAAAATTTGATGGACTTGGCTGGGTAGCAGGGAGCAACCAGAGATTAAAATGCCACATCAGATAAGTGCATGTACACGTGCAAAAATGTGAAATGTGTCAGTCTTAATGATTGAGTTTACACATCCCCATGTGCACAATGCAGCCACACTATTTTTGAAACCTAACAAAACAATTTTCGTTCTAGTGCCATTTCTCTCATCAGCAAACAGAAAGGACAAGATAATACAAAAAAAAAATAAAAAACATTCAGAAACAGGCTCTCTTACTGATTTAACAATAGATGGGAGGCCCCATTCTGTGCTGAGCAGGCGTTTGCTGTGAAGGCGGCCTTGCTGGTCCACGCTGCGGTCTAGCACATCTACCCCAAATACACTGGGGTTCATGGGGTTTGGATACTTCTGCATGGCTGCTTTGGTCACAGTCTCCCATGGATGGCTTTATTTTAAGGAAAAAACAGAACACAAAAAAGACACTGTCTTTGTTCCACAAGAAGCATGACTTCACTTAAAGTAATTCAATTCTCCACTGCTCACATGAGCAGAGTAAGAGGTCTGACGTGAAACAGGACTAATATAAGTAAGACCTAGCTCTGTTCACACACAATGGACATTTCAGGACGTATGTGCAAAAACCTGGTAACATTTCATCTGCCCATCACTTGCCTAGTATCAGCTTAGAGCAATTACTTAAATGTAACACAAGAATCAAGTACAGAATATTAAGAAAATAAAATAACAAGCAGATACAAAACAAATTGACATCTCTGAATATTTAGCGTTTAAACTGTGTGCTGTATAAAAGTCGTCGACATTCCTCCAAGCCCAGTTTCAGTGGTTGCGGCAGATATTCAACGCGCGTGGTGAGTGACGTCGTACTGCGTCACCATGTAGGGGAAGGGTCACACTACTGTCAAGGATAGTTATGCAATGCAGCGTAATAGCACTGAAACACAATAGCCTACTACGGCGTGCTGTAGACGCGGGTCCACAGCTGAGAGATCAACTCTAACACGCACCGTTTATGGTACACTGTTGAAATACGTATATTTGATCGGCATGCAGATTGTATCAGTGTAGAAATAAAGAAAGACAGACAACCGCAAACGCGTTACAGACATATAAATGATGGCTATTCTGACCAATGCCCTAACCCCTGAAAACACCGTTTTACAGACCTCCTAGTTCATAAAACCATAATCACTTAGTTGAACTCAATTTCCAGGTTCAGTAGTTGTACTAGAGAACAAACTAATCTCTAGTCCACCAATTGAGAGGCTTTACAACTTAGTTACAGCACGGCCTCCATCTTCAGAATAGTTTAGGAGTTCCATAGTTAGCGTACCATACGTTTCAAGGTTCTTTCGTTCAAGTATTTCTGTTTAAGGGTCAACACAAGATCATAAATGTAATTATAAACATACTTGATCTTAGACGACCTAACATGGTCCTCTAGCTAGTTTACGTTAGCAAGGTAGTTAGCTAAGCTAGCTAGCCACTCAGTTAATGAAATGAGTTATCGTAGCTAATCTCCAGCAAAAATACACCCTCAAATTAGGACTTCACCATTTATATTTCATCATCAGCTTAAGTGTATCCTTTATTTCCCTCCCCAGTTAGCGTTAGCTAACTATGCTAAACTAACTATGTAGCGCTATCCTCTTGAGTCACTAGCCATAGGGGCAGCAAAGGTCGAGGTTTTCCAGCTAGGTTAGCCAGCTAGCTAATCAGCATGTCTCCCTGGCTAACAAAATAAGATTTTTAGCTAATTAATTGGACCGTACAAACTTCCAACAAAGGGATCCAACGGTTTACCCTGTTAATGCTTCAACTGGGCTATTCATTCAAGATCCAAGTTAGGATAGCTGGCTTTAAGTTACACGTGACTATCATCGTTCTAACAGCTAGCTAGGTCAGCTAACAAGTAGTATTCCAAACGATGTCGTCCGGCATGATTTGGCGTCGAGAAGAAACCGCTAAATATTCAATACTCACTTGAAAATATGCTCCGACGTCCAGATCTTCATGGTTTTGTTTGTTTGTCTTGTTGTTTCTTTTTTTTTGCTAAACTATGACTGGTGACCGCCAGGACAGACTTGACCGGCAAGTGCTGCGGTTACCGCTTTCAACAACTTCCTCGTACAGCATTCATGCTCCGCCCATCCTTCCACAGCAACTTGTGACACTGCGTGCTTTCAGACGAGAATGTTCTACGGAACGAATCCTCCGCCCATCACATGCTGTCTTACATCAGAGAAGGTATTTTACTTTCCTGTCTTTAGAAAGTGCTGTACCCAAGAGCCAATTTGTAGGGCACAATGACATGTGAAAGTTTCCATAGTGTCCTGAGTTAAGAAAAACAGAAGCGGAGAGTGGAGCCTGGTACACTCTGTACTCTATGCTTTCGCTCTGGCAAACTGTTTGTAAGAGACGTCCTCTGTCTTTGACTTGTTTCTTTTTAACCAAGTGAAGGACATGTAAAATGTAATTGTTGTATTCAATCTTATACTGTGAATTTGTGCACAAGACTATTATTTACTTTATATTTCTGATACGTCCTGTGCTGTTAATAAAGTGGCTGACTGTATATGAGTACATTGTGCTGTTATTCAGTAGTGGTTTATGCTAGACTGAAGTGGTGGGAATATACTGTGAGTAGCTGTTATCAAGATTATCCCAGCACACAACAATGTAAAAAAAGTTAAACATCTATCACTCTTTAGCATTATATTCAAGATGTCATATCACTCCAAATATAATCCTAAACCTAAAAGTTAAAGGGGAATTTCACAATTTTAAAAAAAGGTATGCATCATTCAGTTGTTTAGATGTAACCAGTAATTCAGAGTAGGTTCAGTTCATTTTTGAGAAATATAATCTACAAACTTTTTCTTTACAGTGGAGGTGATAATGCCAATATAGTCATTTTACTTGCTATCCAAAATGACCGTGAACATACATGTGTCTGCTGAGTTTTTATATGTAATGCTGATAATTGTAAATTAGTGATTAATCTGAGAAAAGTTTTCTCTAAAAAAGTTAATGTCCTCCAAACAGGTATTAAGCTTGGATATGGCTATAGAGTGAGTAGAAGGGACCTTCTTATACAGCTGTGTATCATCAGCAACAGTGAAATGACATGCCATGCCAACCAATGATATCTCCAAGGGGAAGCATATAAATAGTAATAAGAATGGGGCCAAGGACCGATCCCTGCAGAACTCCTTGGTATTTGATACCTAAAGCCTATTAGACAGATAAGATTGGAGCCAGTTGAAAGCAGTCTTAGAAAGCCCAATAGCATGAAGAACGTCATGATCCACTGTATCAAATGCAAAGCTCAGTTTCAGCAGGATCAATACAGAGGGAAATCCAGAATCTGCTACCATCAAAAGGTGATTTGTCACTTTCACGAGGGATGTTTCAGTACCGTGGAAGGCATAGTATCCAGACTGAAACTTTTCATAGAGATGGTTATGAGGGAGGTGTTCTTGAAGATGAACGGCTACAACTTTCTCCAGCACTTTTGATAAAAACAGCAAATTAGAGATAGGCCTGTAATTAGCCAAAACATCCAGCTCCAGTGTAGGCCTCTTAAGGATAGGTTGGGTAATGGCAGTTTTAATTACAGGTGGAACATTCCCAGTTTGAAGGAAACAATTTATAACCTGTGTTATCAAAGGGCTAAGAGCAGGCACACATCATTTCACTAGGGCTGCAGGCATAGGATTCAGAGCACACATAGAGTGTTTCATTTTTATTATAATTTCCTCCACATTTTTTGGGTGACACTGGTAAAAGAAAGAAGAGGCTGAAACCTAACAGTTGGCACTTCTGTAGCTGACAAAGGATGGGAAGAAGAGCTGGAAATCCGTCCCTGAATATTATTTACTTCAGATCAAAGAAGTCCATAAAGTTATTAGACTTCTCATTTGTTATATCTGTAGTAGAAGACTGCTGTGGCTGGAGAAGCTGATTTATAGTAGTGAACAACCTTTTTGAAGGTTGTGTATTAATGAGTTCTGAAAAAAAAATTGACTTTGCCTTTTTAAAAGATCTTGAGTATGCCTTTTGGTGCTCACAGTAAGCCATTTTGTGGACAGTAAGCCCAGAGTGTGTAAAATATCTCTCTAGAGCACATCCAGTGGTTTTCATTTTCTGTAATTCAGGTGTGAGCCATGGGGCTGAATGTGAAAAAGACCCTTTTCTTGTCTGGACTGGGGCATAATGATTAAAAACAGCCTGGAGATGTAGAATTGCACTGATTCAGCTACTGATGTAAAGCTGTGATGGGAGATATTTTGGAGATCTTTTTTCATGATAATTGGGTCAATGCCTGGCCAATTGTAGTAACTCATGAGACACTTGATCTTGGGTTTACTGGAGAGACACTGAAGTGTTTTGGTTATCACCTTACCATCAGAGACCTCAAGATCATAGACCTGCAAATTGTTAACCAGAGTAGAGTCTGTAAAGACAAGATCAAGGGTCTGTCCTCCATTGTGTGTGGGAACATCAATGTATTGCTTAATACAAAGGCATTCTGTCAAATTCAGAAACTCTGCAAAGTGACAATAGAAGTAATCAATATAAAGATTAAAATCTCCTAAAATGATAACTTTAGTAGATGTAGTGCACAGAAATGTAAAAAGCTCCTATATCTGAGATTATATTATACATTATATTTATGGGGATGATAAATGAGAACTAGTGTCAAGACGTATGGGCTCTTGCATTTAAGTGCAAGGGTTTAAAAGATGATGACTCAAGTAGGCACTTTAGTCCTATAAGAGTGGAACTGCTGTTTCCACGGACTATTGAAAACTATATATAATTTTATACTCACAATATTGTTTATTTATTTGTTATTGTAATTTTTCACAGTATGTTATTAATAAACAAGGAAGACCCAATTATAAACATTGCTGTGAAATATCTTTAAGATTGTTCATTAGATAAGTTGTGAATGGGGGGTGGTTCAGGTTTAGTTGTTTCTTTTGATTCAGCTGTATGCTTAAAAAGCCCAACCTAGCTCTTTTAAAAACTCTTCTTTCCGCAGTGTATCTTGCCAAAGCGCTCCAAGTGCAATTCTGGTACTGCAGAATGCCAGCCAATCAGAGTCTGAGTAGTCTGTGGAATGGGGGAGAAGGTTCCACCTTCAAGAAATACATAGGTTACACTTCTGTACTTTGATTTGGCAAATTGTCTTTGAATTACTTATGGATTAATGTTTGCTTTCTGAATTATGTTCTGCCACTGGTTTATTCTTCCTAGACACTATACTGCCTCTAATAATTAATCTTCATAATTTAGTGCAACACCAAGTGAGATCATTATCTTGAAATTAAGATAACCTGTATGTATTTCTCCGGTGGAGTAAGTGGGCGTGTTTTCAGATACTGAGGAAGCTCTTGGTTCACCATTGAGTCTTTCTTTTACTAAATCTTACTGAATCTTTCTTTTACTCTCCTATAGTCTACAAAAAGACCAGGGTCCTTTGTATGGAGTATGCATGTTCTCCCAGCATCTGCATGACATGAGGTCAGGTGAACTGGAAATGCTATATTGTGTGTGCGAATGTGTATGTCTGTTTGTCTCCGCTGTGATGGACTGGTGACCTGTCCAGGGTGTTTCCTGCCTTCCACCCAATGAGCTTTGCGATAAGCTCCAGTACCGCCCCCACCCGATACAGGAGGACAAGTGGCTTAGAAAATGTGTGTGTGTGTGTAATAATATCTGTTTTCAGAAACTGTTATGACTGGCATTTTATTCACACAATGTAAAGTAAGGTAATAGATTAAGTGCTACTGAAGAATATGTCTCTTTGTCCTGCTTAACTGCTTCATAGCACAGAAAGAGTTCTATGAAATTAATTATGACGTAGTTAAAAAAAATCTTCTCTTATGTAATACCTTTTTGAAAATATTTTCTTGCAGCAGTAACAACTACAGGATGTAGCAGCTGGTATGCCTATACTCTTAAAAAAGATAGTTCTTCAAGTTCTTCTTTCATAAAGACAGTGGTTCTATAAGGAACTATGAATACTCAGAGAACCCTTTGCATGTTTAAAGGGTTCTCTGCATTGAAAACCTTTTGGGAAGGGTACAAAATAGTACCAGAAAGGTTCTTCTATTACAAGCCTGACATCATAACAAATCTTCTGTATATAAGCTATATATAGAACCACGTACAACACATTTTCCATCAGTCTGAAGAACCATCTTATGATGCAAAGAAACGTTTAAGCATGCAAGTCATTCTTTGAGTGTTCATAGTTCTATACAGAACCACTGTCTTCAGTAGAGAACCCTCGAAGAGCCATCATTTGCTGAGGTACAATAGTTGACCTATGGCTGCTATAAAGGCCCAATAGACCATGGCTTGCAGGAAAAGGGAATGGACATCTGGATAACACAATGGAGCTTGAGAACAGCAGGACAGTGTTGAAGGACAAAATTAAGGACAAGGAGGCATTGTACCTGACTGTCAATCATGTTACATGTAGTCTAGCATTAGCCTAGCCATATAGCCTAGTGATAGCCTTAACACAGTTATAAGACCCACTGTGAGAGCCAATCAGACTGCCATTCATATTAATGTGATGGAGGTAAACACCAAATATGTGGTTCAGAGCAAGGAGTACAAACTGTCATTTGAAAAAGTGAAGATAAGCCCAAATTGTTTCTTGTCAAGCTTCATTTGTTCATTTGCTCACACAGATCATGATGAATACAGTGATGTATTCAACTCACCTGTGGAACCAATGCCTGGGGAAGTATATTTATAGCTGGACCCATCTCAATGAAAGCATATGTTAAAGCCCAGCTGTATCAGGCTGACAGCTATATTGTAGATGAGTAATATGGTCATTATTAAAAAAGTAAGACAACCTAAGAATAGCCGAAGTTCTTCAACAAAAACTTTAAACACTCCAAATACATCATGCCCACTGTCATGCATCCCTCTGTCTCCGACTCACCCCAGGACTCACTTCCCAGGGATTTCCCAGAATCCCCTGGGAGATCACATGACTGTAGAACCTCTGCAATCCACCTATCACCATTCACAATCAACTGAATACTGATCTGTTTCAGGTTTTTTTACACACTTCTATAACCTAAGAATAGCAGTGAAGTCCCTGTAGTCACTGAATAATAAGCCTTTATATGTAACA